TTTCTGGTGTTTCAATTCTGTTCCATTGGTCTATCCATCTGTTTCTGTACCAGTACCATGCTGTTTTGATAACAACTGCCCTGTAGTATGTCCTGAAGTCTGGTATTGTGATGCCTCCGGCTTTGTTTTTGTTGTACAAGATTGCTTTAGCTATTCGAGGTCTCTTGTGCCTCCATATGAATTTCAGCATCATTTTTTCTAGATCTGCGAAGAATGTCTTTGGTATCTTGATTGGGATTGCATTGAATCTATAAATTGCTTTTGGGAGAATGGACATTTTGATGATGTTGATTCTTCCAATCCATGAGCATGGAAGATTTTTCCATTTTTTGGTATCCTCTTCTATTTCTTTCTTTAAGGTTTTGTAATTTTCATCGTAGAGATCTTTAACGTCCTTGGTTAAGTTTATTCCAAGGTATTTGATTGTTTTTGTAGCTATTGTGAATGGGATTGATCTTAGCAGTTCTTTCTCAATCATGGCATTACTTGTGTATACAAAGGCTGTTGATTTTTGTGCATTGATTTTATATCCTGCCACTTTGCCAAACTCCTCTATGAGTTCCAATAGTCTCTTAGTAGAGTTCTTTGGATCCTCTAAGTACAGAATCATATCGTCTGCAAAGAGGGATAGTTTGACTTCTTCCTTATTGATTTGTATTCCTTTGATTTCTTTTTCTTGTCTGATGGCTCTGGCTAAAACTTCCAGAACTATGTTAAATAGCAGTGGTGAGAGTGGGCATCCCTGCCTGGTGCCAGATTTCAGTGGAAATGCTTCCAACTTTTCCCCATTCAATAGGATGCTGGCTGTGGGTTTTTTATAAATTGCTTTGATTATATTGAGGAATGTTCCTTCTATACCCAATTTGCTTAGAGTTTTCATCATGAAAGGGTGTTGAATTTTATCAAATGCTTTCTCTGCATCAATTGAGATAACCATATGGTTTTTCTTCTGCAGTCTGTTAATGTGGTGAATCACATTGATTGATTTGCGAATGTTGAACCATCCCTGCATACCAGGGATGAATCCCACTTGGTCTGGGTGGATGATTTTCCTGATGTGTTGTTGTATTCTATTTGCCAGAATTTTATTGAGGATTTTTGCATCTATGTTCATCAGGGATATTGGTCTGTAATTTTCTTTCAGTGCTGCATCTTTCTCTGGCTTAGGGATTAAGGTGATGCTGGCTTCATAGAAAGAATTTGGGAGGATTCCCTCTTCTTCGATTGTTCTGAATAGTTTGAGAAGAAATGGGATTAGTTCTTCTTTAAATGTCTGGTAGAATTCAGCAGTGAATCCATCTGGTCCTGGGCTTTTCTTTGTTGGGAGGGCCTTTATTACTGTTTCAATTTCTGTTTCAGTTATGGGTCTATTTAGGTTTTCGATGTCTTCCTGGTTCAATTTAAGTAGGTTGCATGTGTCCAGGAATCTATCCATTTCTGATAGGTTTTCCTGTTTGCTGGCATACAGGTCCTTGTAGTAATTTCTGATGATTCTTTTTATTTCTGTGGTGTCTGTTGTTACGTTTCCTTTTTCATCTCTGATTTTATTGATTTGGGTCTTTTCTCTTCTTTTTTTTAGTTAGTTGGGCCAATGGGGTGTCAATTTTGTTTATTTTTTCAAAAAACCAGCTTCTCGCTTGGCTGATTTTTTGTAATGTTTTTTTGGATTCAATCCTGTTAATTTCTTCTCTGGTTTTAATTATTTCTCTTCTCCTACTAGATTTGGGTTTGGTTTGCTGCAGTTTTTCTAGGTCCTTGAGGTGCGCTGAAAGCTCATTTATTTGGTACCTTTCCAATTTCTTGATATAGGCACCTATTGCTATAAATTTGCCTCTCAATACTGCTTTTGCTGTATCCCATAAGTTTTGATATGTTGTGTTGTTGTCTTCATTTACTTCCAGAAAGTTTTTGATTTCTCTTTTGATTTCTTGAATGACCCAGTGTTCATTCAGGAGCATGTTGTTCAGTCTCCATGTGTTTGCATACTTTCTGGGGTTTCCTGAGTTGCTAATTTCTATCTTCATCCCGCTGTGGTCTGAGAAGCTGCATGGTATGATTCTAATTCTTTTAAATTTGCTGAGACTTGCTTTATGGCCTAGTATGTGATCAATCCTAGAGAAGGTTCCATGCGCTGCTGAGAAGAATGTGAAGTCTGTAGATGTAGGGTTGAAAGTTCTGTAGATATCTGTTAGATCCATTTGGGCAATAGTGTCAATTAAATCTGCTGTTTCCTTGTTGATCTTCTGTCCGGATGATCTGTCTATTTCTGAGAGTGGAGTATTGAAGTCCCCCAGTACTATTGTATTGGAATCTAAATCTCCCTTTAAGTCCCTTAACATATCTTTTAAATAGACTGGTGCCCTGTAATTAGGTGCATATACATTTATAATAGTTACATCTTCCTGTTGAATTGAACCCTTAATCATTATATAGTGTCCCTCTTTGTCTCTCTTAACAGTTTTTGTATTAAAGTTTATTTTGTCTGATATTAATATGGCTATACCTGCTTTTTTTTGGTTTCTGTTGACATGGAATATCTTTTTCCAACCTTTCACTTTCAGTCTGCATGCCTCTTTGTTAGAGAGATGTGTTTCTTGTAGGCAACAAATAGTTGGGTTGTGTTCTGTGAGCCAGTCAGCCAAACGGTGTCTTTTAACTGAAGAATTCAGACCATTAATGTTCAATGTGACAATTGATACGTAGTGACTTTGCCCTGCCATTTTCCCGGAAATATTTTCTCGTATATGCTTTGAGCTTCCCATGCTCTTTTACTGGTAGGTGTTCTTCCTTTCCCTTCTTTCATATTGATGGCCGTGTTTCTGTGTTTCTGAGTGTAGCACATCTTTAAGTATCTTTTGCAGGGCTGGACGAGTGGCGACAAATTCTTTCAATTTCTGTTTGCTATGAAAGGTCTTTATTTCACCTTCATTCACAAATGAGAGCTTGGCAGGATATAATATTCTGGGCTGGCAATTTTTCTCTTAGCACCTGTGCTATGTCTCGCCATTCCCTCCTAGCTTGTAGGGTTTCTGATGAGAAGTCAGCTGTGAGTCTGATTGGAGATCCTCTGAGAGTAATCTGACGTTTCTCTCTTGCACATTTTAGCATCTTTTCTTTATGTTTCACTGTGGTAAGTTTAATTACCACGTGTCGTGGTGAGGATCTCTTTTGGTCATGTTTATTGGGGGTTCTATGAGTTTCCTGTACTAGGATATCTCTGTCCTTCTCCAAACCTGGAAAGTTCTCTGCTAGTATCTCACTAAAAAGGCCTTCCAATCCTTTCTCTCTCTCCATGCCTTCAGGAACTCCTAGAACTCGAATGTTGGTTTTTTTAATAGTATCCTGTAGATTCCCAACAATATTTTTTAGGTTTCTAATTTCCTCTTCTTTTCTTTGGTTTGACTGTATGTTTTCCTGTGCTCTATCTTCTAAGTCCGATATTCTCTCTTCTGCTTCACCCATTCTGTTTTTAAGGCTTTCTAATGTGTTTGTCATTTGATCTATTGAGCTCTTCATTTCATTTTGATTTCTCTTGACTATTACACTTTCCTGTTCTACTAGTTTCTGAGTTTCATTTTGACTCTTCCTTAAAATTTCATTTTCACGAGAGAGATTTTCAATCTTGTCCATTAAGGATTTCTGTAGTTCAAGGATTTGCTTTTGAAAACTTCTAAATGTTCTTATCATAAATTTTTTGAAATCCGTATCTTGCATTTCTTCTATCTCATCATCTTCATACTCTTGGCTTGGGGTGTTTTGCTTATTTGGAGGCATCATAGTGTCATCGTTGATCTTGCTCCCTCTATTTCTGTGTTTGTTACTCGGCATAGTTAATTCTTCTTGCGTCACTGTGCGTTTTTTTTTTTTCTTTTTTTTTTTTTTTATACTGTGTCCGTGTTAAGTGGACTGCCTGCTGTTGGAGGAGCCTTGGAGGCTTGAGATGGGTGCGGCCTGAGAGCTCTGCCTGGTTCTTCCTTGTTAAGGGTGTGCAAAGGTCCCAACTTAATTTTAATAATGTACAAAAACTTTGTTCAGTTTCCTTGATCCTCATTGGGTTGTTATTTTTTATCTAAAATACATCTTCATACGGTATGTTCCCATAAACATAAATTGATAATCACAGCTTTATGCAGTTGTCTTTTAAATCAGATGGAGGGAAAAGGAATTACCAAAGAACGAATTATTCTTTAGTTTAGAAACATGGATGGGATACCCACAAAAGTAACCTAGTCCATATTTCAAATGGGAAGTTTTTGAATGGTGAGTAACCATAACCAAACAGTAGAGAATTAGGGTCATTTGTGAAAAAAAGCAAGACCGAATGTAAGTTCTACAAAAGCAGTACTTTTTTTTTTTCCCCCCACAGGCAGAGTGGACAGTGAGAGAGAGAGAGACAGAGAGAAAGGTCTTCCTTTGCTGTTGGTTCACCCTCCAATAGCCGCTGCAGCCAGCGCACTGTGGCCGGCTCACCGCGCTGATCCAAAGCCAGGAGCCAAGTGCTTCACCTGGTCTCCCATGGGGTGCAGGGCCCAAATACTTGGGCCATCCTCCACTGCACTCCCTGGCCACAGCAGAGAGCTGGCCTGGAAGAGGGGCAACCACAAAAGCAGTACTTTTAAAAATTGTTTCATTCCTAGTGCCCAGAACACTACCTGGCCAGTGGTAGATGACTACACGAATAATGTATGTTAGAGAAGAACAGTGTTGGTGTAAAAGATTGAAAAAAATTTATCTCCAAGCTTTAACTTCAATGTTCATTGATCTGGTGTTATGATGATGGATTGTACTTTAATAACACAATTTTTAAAGTGTAACATTGTGTTCAATGTTACTGTGTTGATAGGCTTAGCTTTATTTGACTATTCCATGGTCCATAAGCTCTTAGAAATATTATTGTATAATTTATTTCATTGAATGTTTCTTTCTCACTTTGCAAGCCTCAATATGTGGATATAAACAGTTCGGCAGACGTTGTTAACTGCTGCTGATTGTCGTGACAGAACCGACACTTGAAGGATGAACAGATCTGGCACATACGGAACCTACTCAAGGAGCTGAGTGAAGAGAAATCAGACATATTACCTGCTGTGTCAAGGGAGGATGTTGAAGAAGCGATGAAAGAAAAATGGAAGTTTGAAAGAGACCAGGAAAAAAACTTGAAAGGTGATTTAGGAACTTAGAAAATTATCATAAAGTTGTATCAGAATTTACTAATGCGTTTGTCTTCCAATATATTCAAAATGCTACGAGTGTATTTTGAGTGACATCATTACCACCACAGCCAAAAACACATGTTGGTAAAAGGGCAGGGGAGGGAAAATAACCAAGTATTTAGAAACCGAGCGAGGAGGAGGAATAAGGGCAGTGATCACAAAGGTAGAATCCACTAACTCTGAATGCTAGATGGGTTCCTGTTAAGTGCTGTTCTCAGCTTCTCCTCACAGCAGGGACTTGTTCTTTCTTTTTGAGAAATTCTATTGTTTGGTGGTATCATTGGCTTTAGCCTCGGTGTAGATTTAGGAATGATAAGGTAAACATAACCAAAAACATCCTCTCTCCCCACTATCTAAGGGAGCTAAGAACACCATGATTTAGATGTTAGAAAGGATTAGAGTTGGGAAAGAGGAAGTTTGTAGGCTATGGGGAGAAATGATGCTAGGTATGGGTGATGAAAGCCAGGATACACGCTTGCTGCAAGGTTAGGAAATAGAATCCTGGGAGTAACTCGTGTGTAGTTTTGATGTGTTCATGGTTTATAACTATTCCTCAATCCCAAACTTGTTGCTAGGATTTCTAAGCCACTTCTGTCAGAATTTCTGTCAATACCATGTCTGCTAGGAAGCTGGAAAACAGGAGAAACAATTGAGCACTGTCAGGAAGCAGTACCAGAAGCTAAGAGCCAAAACAAGGGATGAGATTTTCCTGAATTTCTCCAGATGTTTCAATTACCTACTTACCTGGGGCACTTTGCACACAACAGGCCCATTACTCATTAGATAGTTTTCATTTTGAGTGAAATAGTTTCCAAGATCATATATTGGGAGAAAACTTCATTTTCAGAAATTTCTAAAATTGTTCCCATAACCCTCCCCCTGCCCAACTCTCTCTATTAGCAACCGTTATGTCGCTAGATGAGAGATGGTGCATTTTGCAGGACTCCTCTCAGAGAGTTACGCTGTGTTTGGAAGGAATACTTTAATTAGTCCCTTGAGAAGGGAGTGAGACCCCAAAAGCTGCCCAAGTATGCTCACTAAACTGCCTTCTCAGGGGAGTGGTCCCAGTTAGTTGAGGTATGCCTGTTTATGGTTTGGGCTGAGCAGAGGATGTATGTGTCATACAGGACTGGGGCCAAGTGAGATGACTGAGCACAGTAAAGGAGGGCTGGGCATGCATGTGATGGTCCAAGAAAGAAAGAGTCCTACAGGCACCAAGAATCAAAGAGAAAATGAGAGGACAGATGTGTCAAGGAAGAATTTCTTAGACATTATGTACCAGGGAGTCCCTTGCAACTCTCTTTGGTGCGGAGCAGAAATGGCTATTTCACACAACAGCTTATTGCAGTCCAGATTCTCAGGCCCCACCTAGACCTACCAAATCTGACTGCATTTTGACAAGATGTCAGGAGATTCCTATGCACATTAAGGTCTAGGAAGTACAACTGCAACCCCTTTCTTTCAACTTTTAGATAGCACTCTTATAATTGCAAAGATAAAATCCAAATCAGATTGGCCTAAGCATAAAGGGGATAATAATTTTCCCACATAACCAAGCCGCAGAAGGGTTGGATACTGCTGACCTGATCCAGCCCTCACATGTTGTTAGATTTCACCATTCAAAAAAAATCTTTGCGTGTGTGTGCACTCCCACACATGCTCATGCATACCCATGTTACTAGAAAGCAAGGGAGAAGGGTTCTAAGAAAAAAGAACAGGGGCCTGTGCTGTGGCGTAGCTGGTAAAGCCGCCGCCTGCAGTGCTGTCATCCCATATGTGCACTTGTTCGAGTCCTGGCTGCTTCACTTCCAATCCAGCTTTCTGCTCTGGACTGGGAAAGCAGTGGAAGATAGCCCAAGTAATTGGGCCCCTGCACCTGCGTGGAGACCTGGAAGAAGTTCCTGGCTCCTAGCTTTGGATTGGCGCAACTCTGGCCATTGTAGCCAATTGGGGAGTGAACCAGCAGATAGAAGACCTCTCTCTCTCTCTCTCTCTCTCTCTCTCTCTCCCCCTCTCTGTAACTCTGCCTTTCAAGCAAATAAATAAATCTTAAAAAAAAAAAAAAAGAAAAGAAAACAGAACAGCAACCACTACATCCATGTGTCTTTCAAAATCTTGAGTGACATATACCAACCCTCACTTCAAAGCTGAATGCCGCACAGTGGTAAGACAGCAGCAGTCTGTTCCAGTGAGAGGCCTGCTGCCCATCTGTGTTATAGTAGTGTTACTAATTGTTTCTTGACCCTAACAAGCACCATCTCTTAAGAAAATTTAAAATACCTTATGTACAACTCTGGAAAAAGACACATCTAGAGTCTTTCTGAACCTTTGCACTAAAGAACATCCCTCTGGCCTGACTGGAGTGCTTCAGCCACTCAATAAACTTTTATTGAGCACCAAGTAACTGGTGGATTTATGGAGATGAGTAAAATGTGGTCTTACTTCAAGGGGCTTTCAAACAAGGTGATGTGTGGGAGTGAGCTAAGCAACCACTAAGTCCACTAGACTTGGCTCTTTGTAATGCTTCCTTTTCCACAATATTCAGTGGCATGATATTCAGGCCTAAAGATTTTAAAGATGTATTTATTTGAAGAGCAGAGTGATAGAGAAAGGGAGCAGGAGAAGGAGAGAGTGGTGGGAGGAGAGGGAGAGAGAGGGACAGAGATATCTTCTATCTGCTAGTTCACTTCACAAATGCCTGCAACAACCAGATCTGGGCCAGGTTGAAAACAAGAGCCAGGAACTCCATCCTGGTCTCCCATTTGGGTGGCAAGGGGACAAGCACTTGGGCCATCCTCTACTGCTTTCTCAGACACATTAGCAGGGAGCTAGATTGGAAGTGGAGCAGCCAGGACTGCAACTGATGCCAGCATCGTAAACAGCAGCTTAACCTGCTATGCCACAACACCAGCACTCAGGCCTAAAGATGTGCCAGGGCATACTGAAAGTTTATATGTTTGACATGGTTCAATATTTGTACATATTTAATTGGGGAACTTGTCTTTCACTCTAAAGTTTTAGTAAGGTGGGGAGAGAAGAAGATGTGCTATTATGACTATCATTTACTATCACTTAACACAACGGAAGTCCAAGCAAATGAACTATTGATGACTGAATCAAACAATTTACTTACAAAAATAGTTGCCAAAGACCTAGGAAGGATATAAGTTAAAAATCACTTTTTCCCAGTGGCATAGTGGCCAGAAAAAAATGATAATTTATTAATTAAAAATACGTTTTATAAAATGTGATCTACAAAATAGGACCCCTGTTAAGCTACCACATGAATAATTTAAACTTGTGGATTCCTAGGTAAATGGGTTAATTATTAAATCTTCCGGCCACAGCCCCAAAGCACACATCTATTTTATAACCAGAAATAGATTTTGAATCAGGGATAAATAATAGTTTAAATAGTTTAGGCTCTCTTAAATTGTAGATATAAAATAGTACTTATGAGCTTAACAGTATTTTCATATCAGATCTTTACTTCATAAAAGCAATTGCAACACATAATGGTTGCAAAGGCAATATAAATGATGTGATGTCTTGATTTTCTTCTCAACAGATATGCGCACACAAATAAGTAATGCTGAGAAACTATTTCTTGAAAAACTCAGTGAAAAGGAATATTGGGAAGAGTACAAGAATGTAGGGAGTGATCAACATGCTAAACTCATTATATCCTTACAAAATGACATCAATAAAGTCAAAGAGAATGCAGAGAAAATGTCAGGTCAGTTGCAACTAAGCTAGTTCAAGTTCCATAAAAAATCTTTAAAGGGCATACATTTGGTGGAGGAAAAACATGGGTACTCTTTGAATCATCCTTTACTCTCTGCTGGCTGCACAAGCTGCTATGAGCCCAAGGGGAAAGGTGGAGGAAGGCAGTACAGAAATGATCCCAGGACACCGATGAAACTGAGAAGAGGAAGTAAAGAGATGGGGGAAGCTGGAAAGATGCTTGACTCAGTGGGTGGTGTCTCTGTGCTCCTACTCCTGTGTCTGGGGCAGTTTCACTGTGGTAGGAGGATCCTGGGGAAAGGTTATATTAGAAAGAATTCACCTGGGGCAAACGAAGACAAAATCCCCAAGTAAATTAAGTTGCAGTCAGGAAAAAAAAAAATGAAGAACAAACATGAGATACAAAGGGAATAGGGCTTGGAGTAAGATATAGCCTTGGGCATTATGAGGCTTTACTAGAACTGGATCTGGGCAGGATAAGGCCACTTGTCACTGAGGTAAGTATAGTGGATTAAAATAACAACAGATACCCAGAAACAGGAAAGTCAAAGAACAGACTAAACAGAGACAATCCAGCCCAAAAAGCTCTGTAGGTGTATGATAGTCCAGAAGCCAGTTGGTGATGTTGCCCTGTGTTGAGGAAGGGGTCCTGTGTAGTGGTCCCCATAATCTCCTGCCAGGGCACTTATCAGAGAGCCCTGCCTCTGGACTCATTCTTATGTCAGTGACTCAGTTCAAGACCTCTGCACCACAGTCATATTGTAAATTTGGCCTCATGTCCATCTAAGCTTGGAGTTCCAACTTCTCAAAAGGTTCTTAATAATAGACAAAGTGTCTGCCAACTCCCACTCTATCCTCCACCAGCCCACTCAGGTCCTCTCCCTGGAGAAAATGACCATTACCAGTTTCTTGGGTAGCCATCCAAGATGTCTCCTACAGGTACAATTTCTCATTTGCTTTTTCATACAATACAAATATCCTTACAAATCAGTACACATTGATACTGCCTCATTCCTCAAATGGCTATACTGTTTTGTTGTGGTGTAAGTTTCTTAACCTGTCCCCTATTTATAAGCATTTAGGTTGTTTCTAGTCTTTCATAACTATAAACAATGCTGCAATCTCCTTGTGTTTACATGATTTCACTTAAGTGAGTTTCTGAAGTATAATAGCTAGGCCAAACAGCCTGTTGATTTTTATTTTGATCAGCGTGGTCCTCCATGAATGTGATACCATGTTGTCCTCCTACCAGGGTGACTGAGGTTGCCTATTTCCCCACATCTTCAACATCTCATATGTAGAAAACTTTGCAACTTTAACTTCCATTACTTTCATTAAAAGTGACTCTGCTTATGTCTTTTCATTAGTTCAAGTGCTACATTGAGTTTCCTTTTCTGTGAACCACACACATACTTGACCCACTTTTCTAGCATGTTGTAGCATTCTTTACATTTTAAAGAGAATAGCTCCTTACCTATGATATAAATTGCAAATATTTGTCCCACTACTCATTATTCTTTTGTTTGTGCTTTCTGTGTTTGTGTGCTTTTTATAAAATGAGGAAATTCTGTACTTTTATAGTGCCCAATTTATCAGTCTTTGATTTTATTATTTATGAGGTTATAAATAAAATCTCCAGTATTTTCTTCTAGAATTATTATGTTTGTTTTCATATTTTTAAATTTTTTACTTATATAAAGGGAACAAATTTCATGTATTTCATATATACAGTTTTAAGAGCTGTGATATTTCCCACACTGCCTTTTCCCTCCTTTGCTCCCAACCTACTGTTTATATATTTAAGTCTTTGTTTTTGTGTAAGGTAGGAATCCAACACTATTTTTTCCCCAGATGGTTTTCCAGTTATCCCAACATCATTTATCAAGTAATCAATATTTACCCTAACTTTATCATACTTTAATTTCTTATATGTACCTTGGTCTCTCTCTACAATTTTCACTCAGTTCCAATGATCTATGTATCTGTGCACCAGAATGATACTTTTTTTAAAAAGTTAAAAATTATTCTGATGTGTTTAGAAATTTTTAAATATTTCAGCCAGTATTTCTTCACTTTTCATTTTTAAAGTAGAAAGAGTAATCTTCTCATAAAAACTGAATCCATTTGATCATTTGGATGATTTCTTTGAATGGAAAGTGTTCATGTTATCATGTCCAACTTTACAGTGGCAATAACACATATTGAATTATTTCTTGGTCAGAATATGGGGTATAGCTGATTTTAGAGGCCATTAGAAGATTATTGCTATGAACTTGTCTTAGTTCCCATTAGTTTTAGGCACTTTTTCTAACTGTGAATGTAGCAGCAGCCACTTTGCCCAGGAACAATTAAAATGCCTCAGGGGCCAGTAATTGGACACAAGGAATATGGCCAGGACTTTAAACTGATCTGAAGCCTTAATAGCATTATCTTCACCTTTTCTTCCTTCTCCTCCCTTCTACATGGGCACCCATCTTCAATTATTTTTCTGGAAAGTCTCCTCCAGTACTTGTGATCATGGGGTTTGTGTTAGGCTGCTTCACTTACAAGGAAAGGAGATTGACTCAGACTGTTTTAAGGAAAAGAAGGATTTATTATTAGTGAAATTTGCTATCCAAATAAAAATATTTTATTCTCAGTTGAAAATGAGGTGGCAATAAAAGGTACACATGCTTCCAAGTGAAATGAGTCACCATGAAGACTTGCAACATGATGAAGCAGAAAACCTGGTTCACACTCCTGACCACTGAATTCCAGTCTATGAAAGAAGTTGAAGAAGCCAAGGAGAGATTACTAGAAACTAGGGCACAGTTTTTTGAAAGAGCTGTTGGTGTGCTCTAAGTCCCCTAAAAGAGCAGGTAAAGAGAAATTCTCCCCTTAAATCAAGATGGAAGATCTTGAAGGAAACAGACTATTTAATGTGTTTCCCTTGCAGTTTGAGGGATGTTGAGATCTAGTTTATCACTCATCCTTGAAAAATCTAAGGAAGAACTAGTTTTTTTTTTTTTTAATTTGACAGGTAGAGTTATAGACAGAGAGAGGATAGAGAGACAGAGAAAAAGGTCTTCTCTCTGTTGGTTCACTCCCCAAAAGGCCACCATGGCCGGTGCTGCACCATTCCGAAGCCAGGAGCCAGGTGCTTCCCCCTGGTCTCCCATGTGGGCGCAGGGCCCAAGCACTTGGGCCATCCTCCACTAAGGATGCCACAGCAGAGAGCTGGACTGGAAGAAGAGTAACGGGGACTGGAACCAGCATCCATATGGGATGCTGGCGCAGCAGGCGGAGGGTCAACCAAGTGAGCCATGGCGCTGGTCCCGCAAGAACGAGTTTGGAGAGCTACCCATTCTTTTGGAATACAGAGCAAGTAGCTGGTGGCCTGGGCCAGGCCTTCATCCCCTGGAGTGAGTGTTTTTATAAACCTGTTAAAGAACCTACACAAACAGTCCCATTAGAGAAGGAGAGAGCCATAAGTGCCAGCAAGGACCATAAAGTTGGACAGGAGCTTGAGCCAGTGTCAGACAAGTTGAGGGTTTTCTTGCCCATTTCTATGCTCCCCTCTTCCCTTCAGCCCTAAGAGAGGAGGCACGGAAACTCAGTAACAATAGGCACATACTAGGAAAGAGAAATCACCATAATTTTGAAATGAAAGCTTTGATTATTGCAAATAATTGGATATATTAATTCCTTTTGAGAAGGGTTTTAAACCACAAAGTAACCAGAAAAGTCATGAATCTGCTATATTTTATTGAAAGGGAATCACCACCCTCAGAGCATGAATGTTAAAGGGAAGAGAAGGGTGGGTGTTTGGCACAGTGGGTAAGCCATCACTTGGGGCTCCCACATCCTGTATCAAGTGCCTGGATTCAAGTCCAGACTCTGCTGTTGTTGATTCCAGCTTCCTGCTAATACGTACCATGAGAGGCAGCAGTAGTGTTTCAAGGAGCTGGGTGCCTGCTACACATCTGGGAGATCAGGATTGATTGCCTGGCTGTCAGCATTTGGAGAGTAAACCAGCAGATGGGAGGTATCTCTCTCTCACGCGCGCTCTCTCTTTCTCTCTCAAAAAGAGTGTGGTGGGAAGGGCAGGGCAGACAAAACTCAAGTTGCTTGACCTCCCATGAACCACGCTTGTGTATGTTACACTTATAAGTGAAGAACAGGAGAACTAAATACAGACTCTGAATAGAGAGACTTCTGGATTGGCTCCTCCCTACATTTATCTCAGGATCTGTGACCTCTTCTCATGACAACTATGCTCTATCCTGTGTGCCTCTCTCCATTCTCTTCTTTCCCATGTGCCATTGCTTGTTGTATTCTCCAGTCCACATTCTGAATCAAGCTTGTTTCCTCATCCACCCATTCAGTGATGACCAAAGACTTTTGTCTGTGTCCTTTCATAAGTCACTGGTCAGCCTTAGCACAGATGGTACTATGGTCCAGCACAGATAGTCAGCTGTCCAAACTGTTTCTGTTGAGGAGCTATCCCTGAGCTCTGGGAGGCATAAGGAGAAAGCTCCTGGGCTGCTCCTCTGAACTTCAGCTAGAAGGGGTACTGGGGTACTGGGTATACAAAAGAGTCACTGAAATATCCAGGCCAAGGTTACTTGTTCTCAATAAAGGAAAAGGAACCTTAGATTAGGCCCAGAAAAACAGAAAAAGTGGGGCTGTTACTTGTCAGTAGATAGTTCAGTCATAGAGCATCTTGATTTTTATACTTTACCAATACTCAAAGTTCTTTGTACGCTAAAAGCAAATGTTAAAACTTAGGTTCAAGTCTACTTATAAAAAGGAACATGATGAAATTTTTTTAAAGTACTGTCTGAAGATTAATCATTAATTCTTATAGTACAATACATTAAGGACAGAAGTCCTACATGGGAAGCAAGTGCACAGTGACCCCTGTTGTTGATTTAACAATTGACAGTCTTATTTATGATGTCAGTAATCACCTGAGCCTCTTGTCATGAGCTGCCAAGGCTATGGAAGCCTCTTGAGTTCACAAACTCTGACCTTATTTAGACAAGGCCATCATCAAAGTGGAAGTTCTCTCCTCCCTTCAGAGAAAGGTACCTCCTTCTTTGATGACCCCTTCTTTCCACCGAGATCTCACTCACAGAGATCTTTCATTTAGGTCATTTTTGCCACAGCGTCTTGGCTTTCCATTCTTGAGATACTCTCACGGGCTTTTTAGCCAGATCTGAATGCCTTAAGGGCTGATTCTGAGGTCAGAGTGCTGTTTAGGGCATTTGTCATTCTATGAGTCTGCTGTGTATCCCACTTCCCATGTTGGATTGTTCCCGCCTTTTTAATTCTATCAGTTATTAGCAGACACTGGTCTTGTTTATGTGATCCCATTGACACTTAATCCTATCTTTATGATCAGTTATGAACTTAAAACTGATCACTTTAACTAGTAAGGTGGCATTGGTACCTGCCAACTTAATAGGATTTGGATTCCCATGGCAAGTTTTTAGCTTTACCTTGGGGGTAAGCATGACTTAAAATTTAAAAAAAAAATTTATTTGAGGGTCTGGTGCTGTGGTGTAGAGGGTTAAGCTGCCACCTGCAGTGCCAGCATCCCATTTGGGTGTCTGTTCAAGACTTGGCTGCTCCACTTCCGATCCAGCTCTCTGCAATGGCCTGGAAAAGATGGAAAAGATGGCCAAAGTCCTTGGGCCTTTGCACCCATGTGGGAGACCCAGAAGAAGCTCCTGGCTCCTGGCTTTGGATCGGCACAGCTCTGGCTGTTGCAGCCAACCGGGAAGTGAACCAGTGGATGGAAGACCTTTCTTTCTGTCTTTCCTTCTCTCGGTGTAACTGACTTTCAAATAAATAATTATATCTTTAAAAAATTTATTTGAGAGGAAGAAGGACCACAAAGAGAAAGCTCCCATCTGCTGGTTTACTCCTCAAATGCCCACAATGGCCAGGGCAGGGCCAAGCCAAAACTGGAAGCTGGGAACCCAATGTAGGTCTCAAGGAATTCAGTTACTTGAGCCATCATTGCTGCCTCCTAGGAAGGCAATTAGTTGTGAAGTCAGGAACTGGAGCCAGGTTTGGAGCCAGCTTTGGAGACATGTCCACATTAGACAGGGAATCAGAGTATCCAGGAGTCTTGGAGCACAAAGTCATAATCTCACAAGCTCCTACCAGCGGTGTTTCAAACTCTTACAAGAAGGAGACTCTTACACACTCCTGCTGTCTTTGGCTACATTCACAAGTGAATGGTGAACAGTTGTTACTGAGAGCATTACTGAAATCACAAAGGTTACCTGCTTGAAGAAAAATAAAATTTTATGTGGAACTTGGAACAGTACCAAATGTTAAAATTGCCTTTTCAGTATAATGTGGCAATAGAACAACTTCAGTCAGAGCATATCTGGTCATCTATTTTTTATGACACAGTCAAGAGTTAATATTTAATGTTATTCTCCAGGTTTTATGATTTCTTTCTGAAACTAAGAATGTAAAATCCATGGCAGCTGAACTCCTGATCCCTCACAACTTTTCAATTGGTCGTTGTGTTTCAGTGGGCAGAAGTTTCATATAAATAACCTAATGGTGAAGGTCCTAAATAAAAAGAAAAGACATTCCATCGGAAATGAGATTAGAAGAATTAAGTATTCAAGTGATTACTTTAAATGAAAGGGAGAAAAATACAGGTTATATGGATGGATGGATATAGATAGGAATAATAAAGATTTCCACTCCTTATTTTCCAGATGTGAAGTTAGACTAGCTCCTAGAACCTAATGAAGTCTCTTGTTTATAAATCACGGCTGCAGCCACTCTAGTTCAACTCTATCAGTTAAGGAAACTACCCTCTCCTGACCCCCTTTATCAGTGATTGCACCTCTTGGGAGAACTCTCCCCTTCTCTCTTCTTATTCCTACTCCCCTCTCCACCAAAACTGCCACTAAGAGCCATCATTTGCTGCTGCTGCCGCCGCTGCTGCTGCTCTGTGCTGAAGCTGCAGATTGCTGCCCAGCAAAGACATGCAGTTTGCCAGATCTAATTTCCTTCAAAATATTTTGTCAGTATCCTGTTGCAGGGATACAGTAACAGAAAGATACAGTCCAGAAGTTTTTATTTCTGCTCTCAGAGTTTTCATCTGATAGTGGAAATAGTTAGGCAGGTACAAAGTATAGACAAGGGCTGAATCATTCAGTCCGGGCGTCTGGCTCCCTAGTTCTGGATGTAGCTTGCCTTAGCCTGGCTCCTGGTCTGATTGAAAGACCTGCAGATCTCCTGTAGCAGAAAATACCTAGGACTTCTACTTTGGCTTCTTTGGTCTAAGAAGAAAATCTGCTTTGCAAGAGTGTCCTAAATGGCAGTTAGAGTCTATAGCACTTCAAGACTTTTTTTTTTTTTTTCATTACAGAAGTTTAATGAGACTATGTGGACCTATCAAGAAATCTAGCAACCATGATTTTCAACATTATTTGTGTGGGGAAATACTTCCTGACTTCCAAATAATTATCCTGCATATGTTATAAGTAATGCACAACTAGTGGGGACATAAAAGATGAGAAGTTATAATAAATTATAGCCAACTTTGATTAGTCTCAGATTAACCTATTTGGCATACTACACATTCCTCCTATTTCACATTGCTGACTGCTTCACTTGATTCAGTCTCTCCTCAAATCTTACCTCCTCAAAAAAGCTTTCTTCTGTCACCCTATCTAAAATAAAGAATTTTAATTTTTCTTCATGCACACATCACTACCTGAAATATTTATTTACTTATTTACTTACGATCTTCCTTCCCCATGAGAATGTGCCTGTGACAATGGACAAAGGTTGTATCTGTCAAAATCAGCAATATTCCAGTGTGTTCAATTGTGTCTGGCATGTGGAAGGAGTTTGTCAATTATTGTTGGGGTGGGGGGGACTAACTGGACTCACTTATCCAGCTTTACTTCTCTCTACTCTAACATAGCCTTAATGCCACTGGACTACATTTTCCTTTAAAAGGAGGCATTGAGTACATAAGCAACTTTCATGACCTAAAATTTTTTGATTCTTTGTTCTCTCAATAATGACATTTACAAGCATAAGCAAGTTTGTAGACTCTCAAGGATAGGGAACGTCTGGCCCGTGGCCTACATGTGGCCAGTGAAATCATTTGGTCTGGCCCTGCCAAAGAAACTGCAGGCAGGAATCAAAACTCAATAAATCTATAGCAGGCTAATTTTTAAGCTGACAATTTTGTATGGCCCATGAATGATGTCACAAATATCGAAATGGCCCTTCTCAGACAAAAGCTTCCCAGCCCTGGGAGAACCCTGCACATCATCTCATCTCACGTTCTTGTCTGAACTCAAGCTCAGCTGAGCCAGGTCTACTGACTTTCACCGCCCTGCCTACTGCTCACTTTCCTCTTCTGATTCGGTCTTTCCTGCCCTGGGAAATGCATGCCAAGAACACTGGAAATCTAGTTAGATGGAGTCAGATGTACAGGATGTTACTCAAGCAGATAATAAAATCTTTTTATTCCTGTTGTGGGTCATGAGTTGTGTGATCTGAAAAGTAGACTGTCACACAAGTACCAAAGTGATTGAAATTCTCTTTTGGAGACACAATCCTATGACAATACAGACATTCTCTGGAGAGAATGTTAGTAGGTGTTAGTAAGGTGTTAGTAAATTATTGGAGCATTTCAATAATTTCCAAATTATTGGAGGAACTAGATGTACTAAAAAATACTCTGAAATTTTAGGGAAAAATACATAGAAAACAGAGGTAAGGATCACAGAAAGTGAAATTGACCAGTATCATAATTTTACTGAGGAGTGGTCTCACTAAGGCTTCTAATTTTCTTCTTAAAGAACAGTATAAAATCACTCTGGAAGATGCTAGAAAGAGAATAATCAGAGAAACTTTGTTGCAACTGGACCGAAAAAAGGAATGGGCCACACAGGTATATTTCAATTTTTAAAAAAACATATTTTTTAGTGGTATGTTGGTAGTTTAGAACTTGATTCTGAAGTTAAGCAGTTTGAATCTGAATCACAGTTCTTTGCTTATTGGCTGTATAATTACATTTTCTACTTATTTTGGGGGGTTTCTGTTTCCTAGTCTATAAAATGGAGGTAATAAAAGCATTTTCCTTAAAGAGATGGAGTAAAGATTGAATACGATGATTCAACTAGAATAGTTTCTCACAAAAAGTAAGAGTTCAGTTATTATTTTCAGTTATTTTAAAAGTATATTAATAGGCCAGCGCCGTGGCTCAATAGGCTAATCCTCCACCTGTGGCACTGGCACACTGGGTTCTAGTCCTGGTTGGGGCACTGGATTCTGTCCTGGTTGCCCCTCTTCCAGGCCAGCTCTCTGCCGTGGCCTGGGAAGGCAGTGGAGGATGGCCCAAGTCCTTGGGCCCTGCACCCCATGGGAGACCAGGAGAAGCACCTGGCTCCTGCCTTCGGATCAGCACAGTGCACTGGCCGTAGCGCACTGGCTGCGGTGGCCACTGGAGGGTGAACCAATGGCAAAAAAAAGGAAGACCTTTCTCTCTGTCTCTCTCTGTCACTGTCCACTCTGCCTGTCAAAAACAAGTATATTAATAATGGCTATATTAATATAAAAGTTTTGGATGAATTATGAAATGAAATGTAACTACTCTAAAAAGTACTTCCTTATATATTTGAACTTAGGAGAATATACTTTATATTCCTGGTGCTTTAAAAATTCAGTATATGAGGGTACTTCAAAACTTCATGGGGGACAACACTGTGGCATAGTGGGTAAAGACACTGCCTACAGTGCCCGTCTCCCATATGGGTGCTGGTTTGAGTCCCGGCTGCTCCACTTCTGATACAACTCTCTGCTATGGCCTGTGAAAGCAGTAGAAGATGTCCAGATCCCTGGGCTCCTGTACCCACATAGAAGACCTGGAAGAGGCTCCTGGATCCTGACTTCGGATCTGTCCAGCTCCAGCCGTTGCGGCCATTTGGAGAGTGAACCAGCAGATGGAAGACCTCTCTCCCTCTCTCTCTTTCTCTCTCTCTCTCTGCCTCTGCCTTTCTGTAACTCTGCATTTCAAATAAATAAGTACATCTTTAAAAAATTCACAGAAATAAAATTAAAATATATTTATTTTAGGGCAAAAAATTTTTGAAACCCATGCATAATTTCTTCAGAATATGCATTTTCCATGAGTTTTTTTTTAAGATGTACTTATTTATTTGAAAAGCAGAGAGAGAGAGAGAGAGAAACAGGAAGAGAGAGATAGAGATCTTCCATCCATTGGTTCACTCCTCAAATGGCCAAAATGCCAGGGCTTGGCCAGGCCAAAGCCAGGAGCCTAGAACTATATCTGGACATCCCACATGGGTGGCAGGAACCCAGGTACTTGGGCCATCTTCTACTGCCTTCTAAGATACAGTAGAGGGAGCTGGATTAGATGTGGGGCAGTTGGGACTCAAACTAGTAGTCAGATATGGGATGCAGGCATCTCAACCATCGGCTTAACCTGATGTGCCACAACAGTCTCCTTTCCATGAACTTTTGAAGTATATTCATACAAAACATTTTTGAGGTATAATTTCCAATTTTATATGTTCTCTATTTTTGGTTTGTTTTACACAGTCCTTCTCCTGTTTCCAAACTAGCTCCTAAATCAGTGAGTGCCTAACAGGAATTGTCTTCATCTGGGACGCCCCTTCTTCAGAATCATGAACAGCTGGTCTTTTAAAAAGTTCTTTACAGAATGTCAGTTGTTGGTCTTGTTCTTACAGTGTTATGCTCCCCACTGCATGGTTTTTACTAATTTTCACAAATACAGAGGATTTGCAGGACTGACCAATGGTTTGTGTGCCCAAGCAATTTGACCATTTTGTGACTGAATATGATGAACTCAACCATTCAGTGATCTGATTAAAATTCATATGTAAATCAAATAAGCATATAGCTTTAAGTATATATCATGAGGACTGTTCCAAATACTCTTTCAAGCATTTTACACTTAAGTCTCTCAGCAATTCTGCAAGGTGTAGGAATTTACTAATGAGGACTTGTGTGTGTGTGTGTGTGTGTGTGTGCGTTTTCCCAGAGCAAATGAGATAATTCAGATTCAGTTTATGAGGCTGAAGCAGTGTTGTGGTGCAGCTGCTTGGGATGCTCGCATCCCATATCATAGTGCCAATTCAAGCCCCAGCTGCTGGGCTAATGATCTAGCTTCCTGCTATGGTGCTGGGAAGCAACGGAGAATGGCTCAAATACTTGAGTTCCTGACACCCATGTGGGAGACCTAGATGGAGTTCCTGGCTCCTGGCTTCAACCTGGCCTAACTCTGGCTATTGAAGTCCTTTGAGGAGTGACCCAATGGATAAAAAAATCAATGTCTGTCTGTCTCTCTTTCTCTGCCTTTCAAATAAATAAATCCTTTTAAAAATTCAGGAATTCTTCAGATTATAGCTTATTATCATTATACTATATGTTTTTTCCACATAGTGTCAATCAGAATTTGCCTCATTTTAGCTGGCTATTTTAATGTATAAACTTCCTATAATTCAGTACTGTGCAACCTCAGCCGCACACTGGAGCCATCTGAGAAATAGTCTTTTTTTTTTTTTTTTTTTTTTTTTTTTTTTTTTTTTTAAGGCAGAGTGGACAGTGAGAGAGAGAAAGGTCTTCCTTTTCCATTGGTTCACCCCACAATGGCCGCTGCAGCCAGCGTACCACGCTGATCCGAAGCCAGGAGCCAGGTGCTTCTCCTGGTCTCCCATGCGGGTGCAGGGCCATCCTCCACTGCACTCCCTGGCCACAGCAGAGAGCTGGCCTGGAAGAGGGGCAACCGGGACAGAATCCGGCGTCCCGACCAGGACTAGAAAGAACCCGGTGTGCCGGCACTGCAGGCGGAGGATTAGCCTATTGAACCCCAGCGCCAGCCGAGAAATAGTCTTAACCCAGGTGGTATCTATATTCTTCCCATAGTGCTGCCAATGTAATTGTCCCAGAATATTGCCTGGGCTTCTGGATTTTTCAAAGCTTCCAGATTTGAGTTCTAAGGTTGAAACTACTACACCATTTTCAGCAAACTAAGCTATTAGCCAATTAGCTTCAGCTAGAAGCTGTCTTCATCTTCTGTTCAAATAAAATTCTATGCTGGAAGAAACTAGAATTATTACCTGTGGCTATAGTATAAAAATTCCTAGGAAACATATGTCCACTTTTAGTTTAATAAGCATGATTAAATGATTTTTAATTGTAAACCTTCCAGTTCTAAGACTTAGCAAATTTACACTTAACATACTTTTAAATTATTTTTATCCATGTTTATGATCTAGTATATTTTGCCTAATTTCTCTTGATTGTGACCTTCAGTTGCTGAATATTGAATTATAACACGATATCCATATAAAGCATCCCAGAGAAATACAGTGTCATCAACCATAAAATTCTTTTCAGGTTGGCGGGGGGAGAGAGGAAGAGAATATCATTATGTTTTTAGAACTGTGTCTACAAAACACCTGAATCTGTTAAAAATTGATTAATGTCGCTGGCATAGCAGGCAAAGCCATGGCCTGCAACACCATCCCACATGGGTGCTGATTTGAAACCCAGCTGCTCCACTTATGATCCAATTCCCTGCTTATGTGCCTGGGAAAGCAGTGGAAGATGGCCCAAAGTCCTTGGGGCCTTGCACTCATCTGAGACCTGGAACAAGCTCCTGGATCCTGGCTTTGACCTGGCATGGCCTGGCCCAGCCAAGTTATTAGGGCCATTTTGGGAAGTGAACCAGCAGATTGAAGCTTCTCCTTCTCTCTCTCCGTAACTCTTTCAAATAAATACATCTTTTAAAAAATTAGTTAAAAATTAAAAAACCTAAAGTAATTGAAAATGAATTCATATTTTAATGACCCAACTAATACTTTTCATCTTTTTTCTGTAAAGTGCCTTTCTTCAGGAGATTGTGTAGCTATCTATGGCCTGCTACTTTAAAACCACTTGCTATTAGGTTTGCAAATGTGCACACTGTTATGAATGACAGGCAGAAATTTTTCAAATTTAAAAGATGTATTGGGGCCAGCACTGTGGTGTAGTAAGCTTAGCCTCCGCCTGCAGTGCCAGCATCCCATGGGGGTGCCGGTTTGTGCCCTGGCTGCTCCTCTTCTGATCCAGCTCTCTGCTGTGGCCTGGGAAAGCAGTGGAAGGTGGCCTAAGTGCTTGGCCCCCTGCATCTGCATGGGAGACCCAGAAACTCCTGGCTTCTGGCTTTGGATGGGCCTAGCTCCAGTTGTTGCATTCACTGGGGAGTGAATCAGCAGATGGAAGACTTTTCTCTTTCCCTTTCTGTCGCTCCCCCTCTTCGTGGAGGAACGACACAGGACCCTGCGCTGTTCTTTTGTCTGCTCGGCCCTCCCCGGGTTTGCTGCTGGTTCTTCCCGGGTTGGCTACTATCCCTTCCACCTCCATGGAAGGGCAGTTCCCCCTGGCCACATTCCCCACTTCCGCAGGGGAGCGGCACACCGCCGGCCGGCTTTCTTGGGGGCTGCACAGGTGTTCCTTCAGCTAGATGTTCCCCATAGATGTTCCCGGTGCATGCTGTCTCTCTCCTCCTTTATAGTCCTCCTCTGCCAATCCTAACTCGGCTGCCCACACGCCAAGTACGCTGCTCTCCTCCAATCAGGAGCAAGTCCTACAGTTTATTGGCTGAACTGGAGGCAGCTGTGCAGAAGCTGTTTACTTCTCTCCCAGCGCCATATTGTGGGAGAGCAGATGCATAGAATAAGACTTAATTCCAGTAACTCAGTCCAGTCCGGGCTGCTCCCCACAGATCCCCCTTTCTTTTTATTTTTTGGCGTTGATACGCGCCTGCCTTCGGTGTCCCGCGGCACACACTCTGCTCTACTTGCTAGAGTTGCCACAGGTTCTTACACGTCCTATCAATCAGGCAAACCGAATCCGGGTCCTCTCTTCGCCATGTTGTGAGGAGGTTTTTAGGCGCTGATGCGTGCCTGTGTTCGGTGCCCCGCAGCGCATGCTCTGCTCTGCCTGCAGGGGCTTACAAGCCCTAACAATCAGGCAAACCGAATCCAAGCCTTCTCATTGCCATATTGTGGGGGAGACTTATTAGTGTTGGTTCGTGCCTATCTTCGGTGACCTGCAGCTCATACTCTGGTCGAGCTGCTTGCTGGTGCTTACCGCCTTAATCAGGCAGACCGAATCCAAGCCTCCTAATTGCTGTATTGTGGGGAGGCCTTACTGATGTTAATTCGTGCCTGTCTTCGGTGACCTGCGGCGCATAAGCTGCTAGCTGCCCGCAGGTGCTCATCGCCTCACTTAATCAGGCAGACCGAATCCAAGCTTTCTCATTGCCATGTTGAGGGGAGGCCTTTCTATTTCTCTATTTCTCTATCTTCGGGCATTCCTATTTCCCCCATTTTACTTCTATCTTCCAGCATTCCTATTTCTCTCATTTTACTTCTAAACTTCTGTTTCTCTTATCCCTGCGGCTTTCCGGCGCCTCGCCCTGCCAGCAGCTTCACGGCTCCGCGCGGCTTCCCGGCGCCTCGCCCCGCCGGCGGGCTCCGCCCCAAGGCTGCTTCTCGGCGCCTCGCCGGCTCTGAGCCGCTTCAGCCCGCGCCTCTCTCATCTGCGCGGCTCGGCTTTGCGCGCACACTCCGCGGTTACGCACTAGCCCCCTCGCGTCTGAATCACGGCCTCGCGCCAGCCCCGCGTTCCCTATCTATTCACGCCCCGTGCTCTCTCTGCACGCGGCGGCTTCCGCGAGTCACACAGCGTAGCTTGCGTCTCCATCACTAGCATTCAATCCAAGTTCCCCGGGCTAGCCTGGCGAATTCAACCCAGCTTACGTCTCCGCCCCACGGTTTGGCTTCCCATTCTTTGCTCCCCGGGCTAATCAGACGGATCCCAACCAGGCTTACGTTTCCGCTTCTGGTTTCAACTTTTTCGCCCCCCCATTCCCGGGCTAACTTGAGAATCCCAAAGTGGCTTTCGTTTCCGCCTCGGCCTGCCCCCCACGGCTTCAATTTCCCTAACATTTTTCTCTACCCGGTATATTTCCCCAAGCTTTCCTCCAACAATACTCCTCCCTCATTTCTCCTGGCCTCTCCCCACAGTCCGTATCGGAGTCTGTTTGTTCTAGCTTTCACTTTCGCTTTCGACCTTAGAGATTTCTCCCAGCTTCCCCCCATAGTCCGTATCCGAGTCTATGCCTAGGCTTTCAATAGCTTCTTCCGGCACCTTTTTCGTCCGGCTTTTCCCTAGGCTGTTTGCTAGTCTCTCTCTCCGGTAATTTTCCCATTTCTTCCCATTTCTTCCCTCCTAAGTTTCCTATCCGTTCTAGGTTTCCTATCCAAGTCACGGCACCATTATGTCGCTCCCCCTCTTCGTGGAGGAACGACACAGGACCCTGCGCTGTTCTTTTGTCTGCTCGGCCCTCCCCGGGTTTGCTGCTGGTTCTTCCCGGGTTGGCTACTATCCCTTCCACCTCCGTGGAAGAGCAGTTCCCCCTGGCCACATTCCCCACTTCCGCAGGGGAGCAGCACACCGCCGGCCGGCTTTCTCGGGGGCTGCACAGGTGTTCCTTCAGCTAGATGTTCCCCTTAGATGTTCCCGGTGCACGCTGTCTCTCTCCTCCTTTATAGTCCTCCTCTGCCAATCCTAACTCGGCTGCCCACATGCCGAGTACGCTGCTCTCCTCCAATCAGGAGCAAGTCCTACAGTTTATTGGCTGAACTGGAGGCAGCTGTGCAGAAGCTGTTTACTTCTCTCCCAGCGCCATATTGTGGGAGAGCAGATGCATAGAATAAGTCTTAATTCCAGTAACTCAGTCCAGTCCGGGCTGCTCCCCACACCTTTCCCTTTCTCTGTAACTCTTACTTCTCAAATTAATTAATTAATTAATTAAATGTTTAAAAGAGAGAGAGATGTATTATGTATTCATGATCTCGCTATGTATTGGAATATGTCTGTGAATTTATACTTAAAGAATATTTGATCGCTACAGTTTAGCCATCTTACTTGTAAAGCTGATCACTTAATGATTGATTGACTTCACCAAGGCAATCGGATTCAGTCACAGTGGAGGCCAAATGAATGGACAACCACATACAGTGTCTAGTTCTCCACATTATCCCTACTGGATGATGTAAATCAGCTAAAACAATTCATGAAAACTAAACCAAAAGTTCTTAGATATGTTCCCAAGTAATTACAAAATACAATTTAAAATGAGTGATCAGATAAACTAATTGTGCATCTCCATTACTGATATTGTGAATCACCATGTGGCAACTCTTCCTTAATTCAGAAACTTTCTTTTAGAATGCTGTAAGGCTCATTGATAAGAGCAGTTATCGAGAGATCTGGGAGAATGACTGGCTAAAAAGAGAGGTAGGTGGAATTTACCATAACAAACAATTTCTTAATTTGTTGAATTGGGAATCAGTTTTGATTATAAATCAAAGTCATAGGGAAAACATAGAACTTTGACTTACAGAGATAAAATAAAATCAAGTGGAGTGTTAATCTTATTTTGATATGTTACTCAATGAATACCATATGTAATCTCAATAATGGCCAAAAATGTTTTAGATTTACAATGCATACAATATATTCAAATGTACACATTTTCTTTATGTCCTGACACTGACTCCATCTTCCTCATGAACCTATTTCCTCGTGGTGATGGGACAAAGGTAAAGGAGCATTCTAATCTCCTTCTCTACTGATTGAAATTGCTTCCCTGCATGACGTGGTCTCCTCTGGAAACGTGTTCAGGCTTTTTCACTTCCTTTCCTTCCCCTGCTCCTCTCTGAGATGGACCCTTGGTGCAAAGGGAAGAGGGATGTACGTGACCTTCTGTGGATATGTTTCTCAAGACAGCTCTTTGGATCCTTGCCCTCTAAGCTTGTCTCGTCTTCTCTTCCCACTAGTGACTTCTGGACCTATTCTGGACCTTTGGACATTTTTTTGCAGCCAACACCAATGTGATTACAGACATTTACCTATGCTCAAGTTGTCCCTACCCTCTGTATCTCACCCTGGCCCCATCCGCAGGCTGGCTTCACACCTCCTTCTCAAGAGCATACAAAAGTTGCTGTACTCAGGTGTGCAGCCTTGGTCTCGGCTTACCTCCATCTTTCCTTACCAGCAGTGCAAAACTGCTTATGCTGCAGGTGGTTATGTGAAGACTCTAAGGCGGGTCTCTCAACTTCCACACTATTGACATTTGGAGCTGGAAAATTCTTTGTGGGGTAGTACTGTCATGTTTTCCTTGCATTATACATGCTGGTCCCTCTGCCCTTACTTTCATTACCTGCTTTCCCTCATCTGCTTTGATAACTACAACTCCTTGTTCAGGCTCAAACTTTGATGACCAATTTCCTTGTGAACCATTTTGAAAATTCTTCACAAGTCCTGGGTGTCTGCTCTTTCATTTTCTCTTGCTTCATTGCAACAATTGCTAAAATATACTGACATTGCCTGCTTATATTTCTATCTCCATAATAAGAGGAGCAGGCTATGTCTTTTCAACTGTATATCCATGGCACTTAAGAAACAGACTATGCATATCGGACTTAGAAGACAGAGCACAGGAAAGTATACAGTCAAACCAAAGAAAAGAAGAGGAAATTAGAAATCTAAAAAATATTGTTGGGAATCTACAGGATACTATTAAAAAACCCAACATTCGGGTTCTAGGAGTTCCTGATGGCATGGAGAGAGAGAAAGGATTAGAAGGCCTTTTTAGTGAGATACTTGCAGAGAACTTCCTGGGTTTTGAGAAGGACAGAGACATCCTAGTACAGGAAGCTCATAGAACCCCTAGTAAACATGACCAAAAGAGAACCTCACCACAACATGTTGTAATCAAACTCACCACAGTGAAACATAAAGAAAAAATTCTAAAATGTGCAAGAGAGAAACGTCAGATTACTCTCAGAGGATCTCCAATTAGACTCACAGCTGACTTGTCATCAGAAACCCTACAAGCTAGAAGGGAGTGGTGAGATATAGCCCAGGTACTAAGAGAGAAAAACTGCAAGCCCAGAATATTATACCTGCAAAGCTCTCATTTGTGAATGAAGGTGAAATAAAGACCTTTCATAGCAAACAGAAATTGAAAGAATTTGTTGCCACTCATCCAGCCCTGCAAAAGATGCTTAAAGATGTGTTACACACAGAAACACAGAAACATGGCCATCAATATGAAAGAAGGTAAAGGAAGGAAACCTCACAGCAAAAGATCACAGGGAATTCAAAGCATATATTAGAAAATATCTTTGGCAAATGGCAGGGCAAAGTTACTACTTATCAATAATCACATTGAACGTAAATGGCCTGAACTGTCCAGTTAAAAATCACAGATTGGCTGATTGGGTTAAGGAACAAAACCCATCTATTTGCTGCTTACAAGAAACACATCTTTCCAACAAAGATCCATACAGACTGAAAGTGAAAGGCTGGAAAAAGATATACCATGCCAACAGAAATGAAAAAAGAGCAGGCATAGCCATCTTAATATCGGACAACATAAACTTTAGCACAAAAACTGTTAAGAGAGACAAAGAGGGGCACTATATAATGATTAACGGATCCATTCAACAGGAAGATATAATGATTATCAATGTATATGCACCTAATTACAGGGCACCGGTTTATTTAAAAGATTTGTTAAGGGACTTAAAGGGAGATTTAGACTCCAATACAATAGTACTGGGAGACTTCAATACTCCACTCTCAGAAATAGACATATCAACAGGACAGAAGATCAACAAGGAGACAATAGATTTAAATGACACTATAGCCCAAATGGATCTAACAGATATCTAGATATCTACAGAACTTTTCATCCTGTACTTAAAGAATTTACATTCTTCTCAGCAGTACATGGAACCTTCTCTAGGATTGACCACATACTAGGCCATAAAGCAAGTCTCAGCAAATTCAAAAGAATTAGAATCATACCATGCAGCTTCTCAGACCATAAAGGAATGAAGTTGGAAATCAGCAACTCAGGAATCCCTAGAGCATATGCAAACGCATGGAGATTGAACAACATGCTCCTGAATGAACAATGGGTCATAGAAGAAATCAAAAGAGAAATCAAAAATTTTCTGGAAGTAAATGAGGATAACAGCACAACATACCAAAACTTATGGGACACAGCAAAAGCAGTGTTAAGAGGAAAGTTTATATCAATAGGTGCCTACATCAAGAAATTGGAAAGGCACCAAATAGATGAGCTTTCAATTCACCTCAAGGATCTAGAAAATCTGCAGCAAACCAGACCCAAATCCAGTAGGAGAAGAGAAATAATTAAAACCAGAGAAGAAATCAACAGGATTGAATCTAAAAAACCATTACAAAAAATCAGCCAAACGAGGAGCTGGTTTTTTAAAAAAATAAACAAAATTGACACCCCATTGGCCCAACTAACTAAAAAAAAGAAGAGAAAAGACCCAAATCAATAAAATCAGAGATGAAAAAGGAAACGTAACAACAGACACTACAGAAATAAAAAGAATCATCAGAAATTACTACAAGGACTTGTATGCCAGCAAACAGGGAAATCTATCAGAAATGGATAGATTCCTGGACACATGCAACCTACCTAAATTGAACCAGGAAGACATCGAAAACCTAAACAGACCCATAACTGAGACAGAAATTGAAACAGTAATAAAGGCCCTTCCAACAAAGAAAAGCCCAGGACCAGATGGATTCACTGCTGAATTCTACCAGACATTTAAAGAAGAACCAACTCCAATTCTTCTCAAACTATTCAGAACAATCAAAAAAGAGGGAATCCTCCCAAATTCTTTTTATGAATCCAGCATCACCTTAATTCCTAAGCCGGAAAAAGATGCAGCATTGAAAGAGAAGTACAGACCAATATCCCTGATGAACATAGATCCAAAAATCCTCAATAAAATTCTGGCCAATAGAATGCAACAACACATCAGAAAGATCATCCACCCAGACCAAGTGGGATTTATCCCTGGTATGCAGGGATGGTTCAATGTGTGCAAAACAATCAACGTGATACACCACAGTAACAGACTGCAGAAGAAAAACCATGTGATTATCTCAATAGATGCAGAGAAAGCATTTGATAAAATACAACACCCTTTAATGATGAAAACTCTAAGTAAACTGGGTATGGAAGGAACATTCCTCAATACAATCAAACCAATTTATGAAAAACCCACGCCAGCATCCTATTGAATGGGGAAAAGTTGGAAGCATTTCCACTGAGATCTGGTACCAGACAGGGACGCCCACTCTCACCACTGCTATTCAATATAGTTCTGGAAGTTTTAGCCAGAGCTATTAGGCAAAAAAAAAAAAAAAAAAAAAAAAAAAAAAAAAAAAAAAAAAAAAAAAAATTTAAAGGGATACAAATTGGGAAGGAAGAACTCAAACTATCCCTCTTTGCAGATGATATGATTCTTTATTTAGGAGACCCAAAGAACTCTACTAAGAGACTATTGGAACTCATAGAAGAGTTTGGCAAAGTAGCAGGATATAAAATCAATGCACAAAAATCAACAGCCTTTGTATACACAGGCAATGCCACGGCTGAGGAAGAACTTCTAAGATCAATCCCATTCACAATAGCTACAAAAGCAATCAAATACCTGGGAATAAACTTAACCAATGATAATTACAAAACCTTAAAGCCGGCACCACGGCTCACTAGGCTAATCCTCCACCTAGCAGCACCGGCACACCGGGTTCTAGTCCCAGTCGGGCTGCTGGATTCTGTCCCAGTTGCCCCTCTTCCAGTCTAGCTCTCTGCTGTGGCCAGGGAGTGCAGTGGAGGATGGCCCAAGTGCTTGGGCCCTGCACCCGCATGGGAGACCAGGAGAAGCACCTGGCTCCTGCCATCGGATCAGCGCGGTGCGCCGGCCATTGGAGGGTGAACCAATGACAAAGGAAGACCTTTCTCTCTGTCTCGCTCTCACTGTCCACTCTGCTTGACAAGAAAAAAAAAGAAAGAAAAGAAAAGAAAATTACAAAACCTTAAAGAAAGAAATAGAAGAGGATACCAAAAAATGGAAAAATCTTCCATGCTCATGGATTGGAAGAATCAATATCATCAAAATGTTCATTCTCCCAAAAGCAATTTATAGATTCAATGCGATACCAATCAAAATACCAAAGACCTTCTTCTCAGATCTGGAAAAAATGATGCTGAAATTCATATGGAGACACAGGAGACCTCAAATAGCAAAAGCAATCTTGTATAACAAAAACAAAGCTGGAGGCATCACAATACCAGATTTCAGGACATACTGCAGGGAAGTTGTTATCAAAACAGCATGGTACAGGTACAGAAACAGATGGATAGACCAATGGAACAGAATTGAAACACCAGAAATCAATCC